AAATCACAATAAATAAATAAGATACGGTAAGTATCCCACATCTGATATATATATCTACACATCTTACGTATATTTAATTTCAAAATATTAATATTAATTAACAATTAATAATTATGATCGTAGGCTTGTATTTGCTGCAGTAAAGGAAACTATTCTACAAAATGCTCTAATAAAAAGTGGCATTCTATGATATATATATATATTTGTATTATATATATATAAATGTAGTTTTTTTATTTTAGATATATTTTTTCTGTGACATTGAAATACTTTGTATATTGCATTTTTGCTAATAGTTTTTTGAGGGGTGGAGAGTGAGAGAATGTGCGAAGTGTAATGTCCAAATAAAGCCATAGTTTATTCTGGCTAACATTAAATAAGAAAATAATAATAATAATAATAATGGACTATCTTTTTATTCTCAAGATATATATTATTATTACTATGATTATTATTATTATTATTATTATTATTATTATTATTATTATTATCATTATTATTTTTAATTTTAGAAAAAAACAGTGTTAATTGGTAGTGTTTTAGCATTAGAAAAAATGGACTTTTTTTAATAATAATAATAATAGTAGTAGTAGTAATAAGCAATATTAATAATTTATTTATATTCCGTCCCGAGTAATAAAATAATTAATTGGCTTTTTTCAAAAAACCTAACGTATGAAATCTTCATTTGATTATTTGGGTAATAAAAATTTATGTGCACAAAAATCGATCGCATTTCAAGGAATTTAAAGGTCGAATTTTTAGTATGAAATTGAGCATGGTTTTCCAAGCAAAAAATGTTTTACTACTATATACTACGTGAACAATTAACGAAAGAATACAACTCAACCAAATCAGTGAGCTTTTGGAAAATGTTTAGCAAGACGATTAATATTATTAAAATATCTATAAGATTTATCTTGGTGTCAAAATTTTTCTTTTGTGGAAAAAACGACATTTTCCGTTTGTCTTAGTTATATTAATATATTAATATAGTATTAGTATTATTAGTATTAGTGCTATTAGTGTATTACGTATTAGTATATTACATATTAGTATATTAATAGTTACACAGTATAAAGCTGTCAAACTTTTTGACCATACCCCATACTAATAATAAATATAAATGAGCAAATTTGTTTCTCCCAGTTAACGTGAAGAATATCTCCAACCTTCATTAGGGAATACACTTGAAAAAGCCTGAAAACTTGTGTTATTGTTAATTTAAAAAACCACATATATTTTTCATACAAATAGTGGGTTGAATGTCATTCTGATCAACAAAAACATTAGCACAACATAAGTTATATATAAATATAAAAAACGCTTTTTACTTTTTTATTATTTTATACAATTTTTTTGTTCCAAAATCTAAATTCTCAATTTCTTTATATACACAACATAATAGTTTAAATTATAAATAAAATTATTGAAGTTTTTTTATGTGGTTGGTTTAATAACCAGCAGGAGTAACATATATGTAGTGTATAATAACACAATGACCGAGATTACTCCATTGTTAAAACAGACAGATCCAACTACGACTGCAAAAATTATTAATTATGATTCTTTAATAAATGTAGAAGAGTTGGAAGATACAAAAAATATTTTGCAAAACATTAATAATACCAATAACAACGACAGCAGCAGCAGTAATAATAATAATCAAAAGATCCCGTTTTGGAGATTTTTGAAAGTAATTTTACAATTAGTGATAATATTTTTAATTGATGGTATTTTTACCACCTTTGACTGAGTAAGGTTTTTTTTTTAATTAAATTAATTAATTAATCAAAATAATTTATCTAATGAATTACTCTTATTATCATAGTGAACAAAGGAATCTTCTACATATTCCTACAGGATTAAAAGATCTTCAAGCATTAAACAAGTTATTAGGTGAAACCATAGAAAGTTATTACGTCAATTTATTAGTTATTTTTGTGGTCAGTTATATTTTGTAAGTTTTCAAATTGATTTTATATTTATTTATTTTTTAATTTCTAAAAATTAATAAAAAATTTTTTTCTAACAATAAACAAGTTTACAAACATTTTCAATACCAGGTAGTATGTGGTTATCAATATTAGGAGGTGCATTGTTTGGTTGGTTCAATGCTCTTTTACTTGTTTGTGTGGTATGTATACATATTTTATTTGTCAAAAGGAGGAATCGATCACTATAACCTAATAAATTATCTAATTTAATAAATT